AAATGTATGATTGCTTTGAAATTCTGAGCGCACAATAGGATATATTGTTTGCCTAGAAGAACAATGGCAAGGAAAACTATCATTCACCTCTTAAAACGATTCTTTAATCACAGGCCCTCTGACCCGCCCTGCCCCGTGGCTCCCTCATGGAGAATACTTTTTAGTTTGTCTGTGATCACTGGTAAGTGGGCACCAGCTGCCTACCTGGTATATTTTTATGTTATGAGAAAATACCGAACATCTGTTTCTTGATAATGATCACCTGTTCAAAGAGAATAAATGCGTGGGTCAGAGTCTGCTCGAGGCCCTCAACCGGAATGCTGTTAGCCCCTGAGGCTCTCAGCTCAGTAGGCCATTGACCCTCGGGATAGACCCACTTTGCTCTTCTCTCTGGGTATCTGCTTCTTAATTCCTTTGGCACCACCTGCGTGGGTGTCTCTACAGACGAGCTAGGCTCAGTACACAACTACTGGTTTTTAGCATTTTTATAAGCCAGCAGACTCATAGTCTTAAATTTAAAGACCTGAGCTGTAGCCTTCTTTAAAGGAGCTAGGTTTTTCACTTTTTCCTAAATGTTTTTTAAAATAGTGACAATTATTTTAAATGACCTTGATGAAATATTGTGCAACACTTAAAAACAGTATTTATAAAGTTTATATTGACACTCATATATAGTATGTATCAGGTTACAAAACCAGGATATCTAATTATAAGAATATTGTTTATAACTATGTAAAACAAAACATTAAACAATGTAGAAGATATTTTCTCATTTCAAAGGGATGTCCAGTGTGCTCATCAGCACCTGTTTCTTCCTCAAATCATACAGAAGATATTCTTATGATTTAGAGAGGCTTCAAGAGAAACATCTTTTGACACCTAAGTCCTGTCTCACCTTCTCTTCAGCTTCCCATTTCCCATTTCTGTGAACCCCCCATCTGTAGAGATGCAGATTTGCCATGGCCTCTGACAACTGTGTACATCTCCCATGTAATTCACAGAGGCAGGGCTTAACTACAGGCTGGCCCAAGTCTGGACTGAATCTGGCCCCAAAGTTCCTTTGAAACAGAAGAGAGGACATCTTGTGATGGGCTGGCACAAGGTAATTTCTCATCCACCTCCCTAGTTTCGGCTGAACAGTGGAATTTCCCACCTGAGCCCCTAGGGTTAAGCTACCGGCTGCAGGACTGCTGGCCTGTGATTTAGCGTTGGTTCCTTAGCAGCAGAGTGATGCCTCCTCTGCTGCCCGTCATCTGACCCCTCTGGATGCGTGTCATCCTGTGGCTTAAGGAGCTAACACCATGCTGAGCTTGCTTTGCTATATGTGTAACTAATAAACTGTCTAAATCCATTTGAACGCATGGTTTTCTTTACCAATCAACTTTATGAAGGTGTAACAGGAAAGCTTAGCAACTTTTGTCATGGTGCTGCCGGCCCTACGGTCTACTGCGTGGCTGGTGACTTCTTACCTGATTTTTCAACAACATTCGCCCTTATGGATGCACGAATGTGTGAGTTTTGTATCTGCTGCTCAGGATAAAAAGTGGGTGGCAAAGGAGGGTAGATTCCGGTTGTGGGGCAACTTTCATGGCCTTCAGTAAATGGCTCAGACTCTCTAGCAATGTGGGGCTGAGACCGTGGGGTTCTTGCTGCAAATAGCCAGTTGCTGATCTGGTACAGGGATAAGAATACAGAGTCTTAGTTTTGGGGCTGAGACGACAGTGCTGCCCGCCCAGCCACACGTGGCTGCTGGGAAGGGATGAAAATTGAACAGCGGGTGAAAAAGCATGAGGGTTTGTAAGGAGTTCTGTGCTCCCAGCAAATGTCCAGCCTTTGAGCAAATTCAGTATTGGTGTCTTTGGAGAGGAAGATACTAAAAATCCAGTAGAACGTGACCTCTCAGAGGCCCAGACTCCCTGTGTAGACCGTAGAGAAGGTTAGTTAAAATTGAATGGGATCACAGATGGCCTGGAATTATAACCATGGTTACTAAGCGTGCAGAATAAATAATGCATCCAGACATGGCCAGGGAAACTGTCAGACCCTGAGGGAGGGAGAGGGGACCCTACCTGAAGGGCACTGAATCTTCTGGAACTTTGACCTCGTAACATCCTGGACAGTCTTAGGCTTACGTTTCATCTCACTCTTCCTAGTTGGGTTCAAGTTCTCTACACGTACAAATAAAGACAAACCTGAAAACAATCCAGCCCGCTGACAATCTGAAAAATCGGGTGCCGTCATACTTTACAAACTAATTAGAAAGCTGATCCCCAAAGCCAGGGAAAGAGTCTGTGTTCTCTATGCTAGAAAGTTCTCTCTGGAATCTGGTTAAGTCCTGCACGGACAGAATTTTCCACTGCCACAAAGCATCAAAACAAGGTTATCACATCAGGTCTAGGCAACCTCTGCGCCTCAGACCCTGCTGAAATTCTTCGTACTAGCCAATATTAAACCTGCTTATCCCACCTCAGTGCTCCTTCCCAAGGAAATCTGCCAATCCTGCACTGCCTTCATCTTACTGTTGACAAGCCACATACCCTGTCAGGAAATGAACTCTGTAACAACCCGGGGAGCTGCAACCTTTTTGTTCTTTTGAGAGAAAGTGTGTATGTTGCGTGCACACCCTCCAGCTTTGCTGAAGGAATCTGAACAGATAGATAGTCACTAATTTTCGTTGGTGTCTGTACATTGACACTTTCCAAAGAAACCCAATTTCTTTTGAAAGAAATCCAAAGCTTTTTTAAAAAATAATTTAAGTATTTACCAAATCTATCTGTATGGAACAAAATGAGGGAGGGGTTTGTCGCCATGCAGAGCAAACTCGCTTCAAAATTCTTTCTGAATGTCACTCCCTGAAATCACTCATTCAGTAGTGAAAACTGCATTGTCTAAGACCAACATCTAGAATTTATCTGGGATGTCTGGAATTTGTAATAGCGATGCTGAGAAGCTTCAGAGGGTAAGAGCAAACTCTGTCTTTAAGGAAACTCATTTTTACTTAGAGCTAATTTTTGACATTTTTCCAGTTTTATTGAGGTATGATTGACAAATAAAAATTGTATATTCAAGGTGCAGGGACGTGGCTAGATATACATAGGCATCGTATAATGATTACCACAATCAAGTTAATTAACACATTTCTTACCACCCACAGTTACTATTTGTAGGAAAAAGGACACCTAAAAATTATTTTCTTAACAAATTTCAAGAAAACAATACAGTATGTTTCTCTTGTTTGTTTTTAAATTGCTTTTTTCTCCTTAAGGATGAGACTTTCATTCTTATAGTTGATTATAGCCTAATTTAGTTCCTGGTGCTTTAGGGGGTGAAGACCCTTGGTTGTAGAGTCTTGGTATGATGGTTTTCTCATGTGCTAGTTGTAGTAGCAATGTGCTCAGTGTGTGAGCAAGTTTACTGTGTTCTGTGGGGTTGGAATGGTAGGGGTCTGTTAAAGCTTATCTCATTCCCCCACAGTGTGTACTTTTTTTTTTTTTTTTTTTTTTTTGAGACGGAGTTTTGCTCTTGTTACCCAGGCTGGAGTGCAATGGCGTGATCTCGGCTCACCGCAACCTCCGCCTCCCGGGTTCAGGCAATTCTCCTGCCTCAGCCTCCTGAGTAGCTGGGATTACAGGCACGCGCCACCACGCCCAGCTATTTTTTTTTTGTATTCTTAGTAGAGACGGGGTTTCACCATGTTGACCAGGATGGTCTCGATCTCTTGACCTCGTGATCCACCCGCCTCGGCCTCCCAAAGTGCTGGGATTACAGGCTTGAGCCACCGCGCCCGGCCAGTGTGTACTTTTTATTTATTTATTTTCCCCCAGTATTTTATTCACTAATTCATGGTTCAGGCTTAACCAGTTGTGCCTAAAGCAGAGGGGTGAAGGATGTCCCGGGCTTGACAGAGGAGGCTGGAGGAGCTCTCGGTGAGTTGCACTGAGGTCTTAACAGGGGAAGCGTTGGAGCCATCTCAGCCCTCCTGCCAGATCAGCAGGAAGGTTACCCACCTCTTAGGCATGCTCCTGTCCCTGTGTTCCTAGTGTTCAGGAACTGGCTGACAGGCACCTCTTTCCATCTGCAGGAATGTTGACGTTCCAGATAGAGAGGAAATGTGGCTCTGCCTCCCGTGCAACTTTGAACCTAGAGGGTGGCTCCTTTTCTGGGCATGCAGTCACCCTCGTGTGTTCCAGGAAGTTTGTCTATATTTGCACCCACACTAAGCTCCCACGGGAGAAGCCCCAACTGTGCCTATGGTGGTGGACAATGTGGGAACGACTTCCTTTTCCCCAAGACCCTTTACACACACCAGAGTTGTCTGACTGTTCGGATAGAGCTGAAGACCTTCCCTCCCGAGCCCAACATTACAGCCTTGCCTCTACTGAAGGAAGCTTTCCATCTGGTGCTCAAGGCCTGCCATCTGGAATATTTTGTCCCACGGGGCGTTCCCCTGATGTGGTGCACTCCTTCTTCTGCTACAAGTGGGAGTCCCTGGGAGCCAGATTACTGTGAATGTTGTTGCTCCTCTGGGTCTAGCTGCCCAGAAAAGTTGCCACACTCTAGGCTGGTGCTGGGAAACGTCTGCAAAGGACCCAGTTTTGTGACCTGTGCTCGAGTTTCCCAGCAGTGGGTAGCAGCGCCAGCTCTAATGCGAGTGGCAGGGTTGTGACATCGACTCTGTGAAATTCCTTGGTCATTGATAGCCTAAGGGTGTTGGCTTTCTTGAATGCGGGTTACAGTAGTAACAAACTGGTCTTGCGGACGGACTCAGGACCTCCTGCTTAGCCAGAGTGGTGCAGGCAGTGGTGACAGCTGGGATCCACAGCGGTTTTCTCTTTCCTGGGTGCAGCACTAATCTCGCGGGCGATACTGTCACGGACGGTGTCGGTTGGCCTCCAGCCAGGAGGTGGCGCTTGCAAAACAGCAGCAGCCGCGGTAGCCGCAGTGGGAGTTTTGCTTGCTTGACGTTACCCAGAGGGGGATACGCTGGTTTCTCCGGACGGGGGCGGGGCCACGTAGCTTCCAGGAGATTACGTCGTTTGCGTTAAGTTACCGGCGCGGGTGGCGTGGCAGTCAGGTAGGGGCTGGGACGGGCGGCTTTGCGCACGGGTTTCCGTGTGCAGGGAAAACGGCGGCCCCTGCGGGTGTTGGGGGAGGGGAGCGGGTCTCAGGCTGACGTTTCAGGGGGAAGCGTTGCTGCCCCTGCTGCACGGAGGAGCCTGTGCAGGGTGTGGGGTGTGCCGGGCGGTGGTAAGCTCCGCAGTTCCCACCCACTGGGCAAGGCAGGTCCGCGCCTACAGTGTTTGCTGGAAGCAGTGAGCTCACTTCCACTCAGCGTGGAATGAACTCGCGGCTGCCGGGGCCCGAAAGCGTTCCCCGCGGATTGCAGCCCAGGCGTTCAGGCCACGCCCCTCCCTGTCCGCCGCAGAGCTGGGGTGCACCCCTGACTCCTGCGCTTGCAGTTTCTGCACCCACGACTCCTGCACCTGCGGCTCCCGGACTTGGAGCCCACTTTTCACCCTCCCCCGTCCCGGCCCTGGCCAAGGAAGTTCGTCCCGGTCTGAGGTGGTATTGAGGAACCCTGTGAAGAGCTGCTTTCAGCCTGCAACCAGCGCCAGAACGTTTTAGCTGGCCGCAGGTCCTCCTGTGAGGAACAGTAAGGCATGGCTGCCCTCAGTCCACACTGGGATGTGGAAGGGCATGCAAGGGGCTGCCCCTAAAAGAATGCAATGCTTTTATATTCCATAACCGCCCCCCAAGTCTGTTCCTGCGCTAGGTCGGTTAGGGCTTTCCCTCCCTCCCCCTCCCCCAGCCTATCAAGCACCCCCACCTCGTGTCCTGGACTTTCAGGCTCCCTAGTGGGGTACGTATCCCAGAGGCAAATTCCCCCTCACACTCAGGGCACCCGCCGCCCTTTGCTTGTCTCAGTGTAGGCTGCAGCATCAGTAGACGCCTGCGGTTTTCCTGTTCAGTTACTGCATTGCTTCTTGAAAAATGGTTCACGGTGTGAATCTGTACACACTATTTTGTCCTTCCAAGCGGGAGAGAGATGCTAGCAATTCCTCTAATCCACCATTTTGGAAAAGCATTCCTAATTTTTCACGGGTAGAAACATTTTTATGGCCTGGTCATCCTAAACAGCAGAGAATGTTTTCGTGCGTTGCAGACTTACAACATACTCAGTATTTCAACTTAACTCTTTTCAGTATGACTTCTGCTTTATTGTTTTCAGTGTCAAACCGTGAGTGTTCCTTAGTAGGTTCCCAGGTTGGACAATCCAATAGAAAAGTGGACAAACGTCTTTAAGGGTCATAATACAAATAACGATATCTAAATGGCCAATAAACATCTGAAAAGATGCTCAGCTTCATTAGGTCATCCCTACAACACAAATTAAACCCCATATGTCATCACTATATACTCCCTAGAATATTTTTTAAAGGCAGAAAATACTAGATGTGGATGAGAATGTAAAGCAAGAAGAATGCTCAGACATTGTGCATGGGAGTATAAATTGGTAAAACCAATCTGGAAAACAATCAGATGCTGTGTATTTACAGAAACTGTGCGCGTTGCCAGTGCCTTAGCAATTTCACTCCTAGGTATATAACCCCCACAGAAATGCCTGCACCACAGCAGCGTTGATAAAAGCAAAAACTGAAAACCACAGATAGGACCATCTTCACTAGAATACCCAAACTGTAATATCTTTCCCAATGTAATACAATATGCCATTGAGAAGGATAAACTACAATTACATGAAACAGATTAATAAACATCGCAAAAGTAATGAAGAGTAAAAGAAGCCAGACACAAAGAAATACCTACAATACCATTTATATAAAGTTCAAAAATAAATGTCAGGAGTTTCCTATTAAAAGTCAGGCTAGAAATCATTTTGTATGGATTAGTGGCTGGTAGTGCCTGGGATGTTATAATGTTCTTTTTTGGAGCAGGGTGCCGATTACACATGTGTGTTAAATTTGTGCAACTATCGGGATGATGTTTACTTATGATTTGTATATTTTTAATTGTGTGTTATGCTTCAAAAAGTTCTTAAGAGACTTTCAAGAAGCAGTAAATCAATAAAAAGAAAAAACACTGAATACAAGGAATTAGAGTATTTCTGTAGGAGAGTCAATAAAAAGAAAGACAGCAGACACAGGAACACTGATAGGCTAAAGCCATTGTTTCGATCGAAGTTTACAACTGAGAGGGATCTGGGTTCCCAGAAGAAATCAGCAACAGCTTCCAGGTACTCACAACTATTTCCCAGTCAGTATAGGCATCTGTTTTGGGTTTACACAGCACAGAAATGTAGTATCACACAAAATATGATATTCTTCGTTTTTTAAACATTTTGGCCTGCAAGTACCATGTAGTCGCCAACATGTAGCAAAGGCTTTTCGTATGTAGGCATTGGGTCCGCTTCTACCTGCCAAGAGAAGCAAAGGTTAACGCACGGTGTCCTGCAATGTCATGTTGCAAGACGTTTTACACCTGTATGTCCCTTTTCAGTTGCTCTTACCTTGTTGTTTGAGGGTCCTATTACAAGCCATTATATGACTCCACAATTAATTACATGAATTACTACTAATCAACTACATGGAATTAACAGGGGCCAACATATTCAGCTTGAGATTATTTGCTACAGAAAGAACACTCAGAACATCGAAGTCATCCCAGGAGTCAGCAGAGGACCGATACCAGAAGGTATGCAGGGTCTGGAACAGCTGCCTGAGGCCGTTTGTGATTATCAAAGTGTCAGCACGAAGAAAGAAAGATCACTGAACTAGAATTTTAGAAGCAAGCCCGCAGTTCTACCCCTGTACTCTTCCGGTAACATTCTGCATGACTTTTTATCAAGTGCTTCATCACAAAGTACTTAAGAGAACCCCTGGGAGAATGAGTGTGAAATGGTTTGAAATACCTGAGACAAATATGGAAATTTATTGCTAGTAATCTTCCTGGACCTTAAGAACTGGGAGCCTCTGGAAACCAAAGGGTGGAGGAGGGGTGGTAAGAGGCAGTTTGAGAGGGTAAGGGTGGCCCTGAGTTGCCTCTACTGAACCATCTGCTCTTGCATGCTAAGTCTTATCAGTCTCTCCACCCAGGTGCCCCCATGAGTCCGTGGATTGAGCCTTTGTGATGTGAAAATCATCAATGTGGTATGGTAAAGGGCCAGTAGCAGGCAAACTTGCCCGCCATGTGCTCACTAGATCTCAGGCAACGTTCTGGGGACAAAGGAGTCCAGTAGAGACACAGTGCAAAGTGTCCAGAGGTCCCAGCATGTAGAAAATCAGCCACTATCTCAGCATGATCCACTTTCATATCTGTCCTTTTTCTTTCTTCTACTTCTTTCTTTCTCTCTTTCTCCTCTATTTCTCTCTTTCTTTTCTTTCCTTCCTTCTTTTTTTCTTCACAAGTAGCTGGGACTACAGACACACACTACCACACCCAGCTAATTTTGTATTTTTAGTAAAGACAGGGTTTCACCATGTTGACCAGACTGGTCTCGAACTCCTGACCTAAGGCAGTCCACTCACCTCAGCCTCCCAAAGTGCTTGGATTACAGGCATGAGCCACTGCGCGCAGCCTCATGTCTGTCTTTTAAACACTTTACACTTGGTCCTTGAGTGATACACTTTAAAGATGAGGGTTTGAGGCAAAGGATAGGGGCTTTCTGCTGACCCCAGAAAACCACAAGCACAACAGTTTTGAGAACCTTCACTTTAGTGACTGAAGTTGACTTTTCTCATTGTCACCAAGTTGCTGGCTTCTGTCCAGAGAATGTAAACCCCTCAAACTGATGTTTCACAGGCCCTCGTCATGCTATAAGTTAACGTAATACATCTTAATAACCAGCTGTGTCTGTGGATTCTGCTCAGCATAAAATTTGCCTTGGCTTCTAAATGAGTGAAAGATAACACGTGTGGCTGATGGTGGAAGGCCAATTCTACGAGTCCTCCAAGAACAGCCTCCCTCTCACCTCCCTGTTCTTCAGAGTCTCATCTTTTCGCTCTGCCCTACTTCTACCAACACCAGCAGTCCGACCCTCCCCTCAGACTTCACCAGCTCCCCAGACCAAAACCCATGCCCAGCTTCTGTCTGTAGAGAGCCGCCTCCTGCTCTGTCCTTGCACCTTTTCACCGTTCTCTGCACCAGCTTCCTTTGTCCACTTCCTCCTTTTTCTCACTCTGGTAGAACCTCACACCCTCCTTCCCTTTATTGTTCCTAATTCTCCAGGGAAGGGACTCCATTTTACCTGGCGGAACATAGGAGAGCAACACAAGGACCACAAGGCCCAAGAGGACGCTCCTTGTGACCATACCAATCAGCAAAGAAGCGGCTTCGGTGCCCGGGAGAGTGACTCTCGACGCAGCCTTGGCGAGACGGGGAGCCGCATGGCTAGTGAACCTTTTGGAACAAGAACATCTGCCTGCTCCACTGAGCAGTCCAATCAGCAAAAGGTCTGGGCATGACATCTCTTCATTAAAGCACACTTCCTGGGTGCCACGTGTGTGGCAGCAGCTGCATGCTCACTGTGTAAGCGGCTCTGTTCTAGGCCCTGGTGGGATACTGTGTAGATGTCTGTGTATCGTCATTGTACATCCACTTAACATGCCCATAGTGTGCAGAGAACCATAAGCCTGCCTTGTATAGTTGAGAAAGTGTGTGTGGTTTTTTTTTTTTTCCCCCAAACACACAAAATCCAGGTAGGCGTGACTCTGGCCATTTTTAAAGCAAAAACAAAGAGCCTCAAGTGGAAGAAGTGACTTTCCCAAGTTCACATAGATCCTAAATGGCAGCAACACGACTTAAAAGCAGGCTTCCCTGACTCCTGTATACAGAAGTGCTCAAGTATGGCCTTGCCCAGTTCTGGTATAGCTGCAATCTCTTTAGGAAAATAAGAGCTCCTCAGAACCAGCATGGAAAAAGCAAGTCCCCATCACGCCCACAACATGACCCTGGGAAAAACACTGAGTCTTATGGCTCCCCATTGAGTATATGCTGCGTGCCAGGTAACAGGAGGCACACGCAGAATTTATGACAAAACTCTTGCTTAGAGGGACTAAAGGTCGACAGTGTTTGTTTTTAAAGTGTTTTAAGTTTTCCAACAACTTTATCTGATACTATATTAAGAACACAAAACCCAGAATCTTTCTGGTCTGGATTCTGCATGCAGTAGCTTGATAAGCTTTTAATAGAGCACTTACTTTATCTCTCTGACCATCAATTTTCTCACTTGTAAAGAAGCTTGTACATGTGGCCGAGCGCGGTGGCTCGTGCCTGTAATTCTAATGCTTTGAGAGATCGAAGGGGGTGGATTGCTTGAGCTTAGGAGTTCGAGACCAGCCTCAGCAACATGGTGAAACCCCATCTCTACAAAAAAATACAAAAATTAGCCAGACTTGGTAGTAAGTGCCTGTAGTCCTAGCTGGTCAGGAGGCTGAGGTAGGAGAATCACCTGAACCCAGGAGGTCGAAGCTGCAGTGAGCCATGATTGCACCACTGTACTCCAGCTTGGGTGACACAGTGAGATCCTGTCTCAAAAAAAAAAAAAAAAAAGTTGTACTCCATCAGTCCCACTTACCAAGAAGGCTTGTTGTAAGGCCAAATGAAAAATGAAGTAATTTTTGAGGCCAGTCCTTTGTAGAACATACATTTAAGAAACTGATAGGCCCATATTACAGAAGGAGACATTTAAAACTATAGATACTGGTCAGTGTGGTGGCATGTGCCTGTAATCCCAGCACTTGGGGAGGCCGAGGTGAGATCACTTGAGGCCAGGAGTTCAAGATCAGCATTGGCAACACACTGAGACTCCCTTCCCTATTTAAATCAATAAAACTAGAGATGCTCCTCCAACCAGACAGTGAAATAGCCAGGACGAGGAACACATGCCTGCCTCTCTCCGTCCTTGTTTTATTCACAAGAATGCATCGAATCTATGCCACTCCAATGGACTCTTGTTTTCCACCTTCAGGATGTTTGCGGTGTGGTCGAAACGACACATCTGTGAAAGACTCATAAAGAACTGCGGAGCAGAAGGAAGTCGGCAGATAGACTAGCGGACCTGAGTTTCGAAGAGCACGGAGAAAAGATGAAGCACGCACAGGGGCACGAAGGGACTCTCCTGAGAACCACTTTGGAGCCTGCAGCAGTAGGTACAGCCTGATTCGCGTTCTTCCAGCCCCCGTGGTCCTGATCTCCTGTTCTCCAACCAGCCCCCTCTGTCTCCATCTGAACCCTTCCCACCACGCCCTCCAGAGCCACAGTTATACTGTAAACACACCTTCTCCTTCACCTGTGTGCCTTGGTGAAATGCTAGGTTCTTCTCTACGGATTCTCTGAGGACACTGCTTCCTGGCAGCCTTGGTGACTGGAGGCTGCTCACTGACCCGGGCTCCACACCCCAGGGGACAAGGAAGCCCCACTTCACAGTCTCCTACAGCCCCATGCCATTTCCAGAACGATGCCATTACCTTAAAAAAAAAGATGTTCATTTTCTAGGACAGCCATAGCAAAGTACCACAAACTGAATGGCTTAAACAACAGAAATGTGTTGTCTCACTGTCTTGCAGTCTAGAAGTCTGCGATCACGTAGTTGGCAGGGTTGACTCCTTCGGAGGGCCGTCAGAAAAGGAACTGTCTCAGGCATCTCCTGGCTGCTGGCAGCCGCCGCATTCCATGGTTCTGGGTGGTAGTCTCCTGTCTTCACGTCATCTTCCCTCTGTATATCCCTCTCTGTGCCCAATTTTGCTTTCCTATGAGGACATAGTCATATTGGATTAGAATCCACCCAAACGATCTCTCATCTTAACTTGATCTATGTAAATACCCTATTTTCAACTAAGGTTGCATTCACAGGTGATGAAGGTTAGGACTCCAGCATCTTTTGTGGGATTATAATTCAACCCCTAACAAACGTTAATCTCCAGTCTTCCTGAGTAATCTCTATAACCCAAATGACATCAAAGCAACCAACTGTTCTTCTAGAACACTAATTATTCTTCACTTTTCTTTTACCATGTTTGCCAGAAGAAAAACCATCTATAGAACGGCTTCTGCTCTCGGGCTTTTAAAAGCCACTAGAACACATCACACAACTCCACAGGAAAGCTGAGTTTGGAGATTTGGTTGTTCCTTTTACACATTCTGGTCAACCTCAGATGCTCTTTGCCCCTCACTCCCCACCCCCGTCCTACTCTCTGCAGAACTTCTGGCTTCCTATTTCTCAAAGAAAATTGATGTCAGAGGATTTAAATTCCCAAAGCTTTTCACACAGCTCCCATCAAAATACCACCATCATTCTTCACAGAACTAGAAAAGTCAATCCGAAAATGTCTACAGAACCAAAAAAGAGCCCCCATAGCTACAGCAAGACTAAGCGAAATGAACAAATCTGGAGACTCCACACACCAGGGGACAAGTAGGCCCCACTGCACAATCTCCTGACAGCCCCATGCCGTTTCCAGAATGACACCTGACATGATCCTGTCACCTCCTGTCCCTCACCCTGTCCACATTGAATTGCTCATCAAACCGTCCCAGTTCTGCCTCCAACATACAGTTCCACTAAAATACAAAAAAAATTAGCCAGGCATGGTGGCATGCCTATAGTCCCAGCTGCTCAGGAGGCTGAGGCAGGGGAATCGCTTGAACCCGGGAGGCAGAGATTGCAGTGAGCCAAGATCTCACCACTGCACTCCAGCCTGGCGACAGAGTGAGACTCTGTCTCAAAAACAAAAAGAATATTTCAATCTCTTGATGACAGTTTCTCCTCACAAGTTAAAATATTATGAAACTACTTGTGTAAGCCAATCTTATGAGCCTGTTGATGTGAACATAACCCTGAGGGGTACATACACTTTGGGGGAGTAGAAAATCAAGAAATAAGCCCTGGATTGTGGTAAATGTGCAAGTGTAATGAACATCGAAGAGCAGAGCACTCTTTAGATGTTGACATTTCTCTCTCCCAATCGCTGCATGAAAAGAAAAAATACCACTTTTCTTTTTTCTTTCTTTTTTTTTTTTTTTTTTTTTTTTGAGACAGAGTCTCACTCTGTCTCCCTGGCTGCAGTGTAACGGTGCGATCTCAGCTCATTGCAAACTCCGTCTCCTGGGTTCAAGTGATTCTCCTGCCTCCTGAGTAGCTGAGATTGCAGATGTGTGCCACCACGCCTGGCTAATTTTTTTCTTTTTAGTAGAGACAGGGTTTCACCATACTGGTCAGGCTGGTCCCAAACTCCTGACCTCGTGATCTGCCTGCCTCAACCCCCCAAAGTGCTGGGATTACAGGCGTGAGCCACCATGCCCGAACGACTTTTCATATTAATAATTCTACAGTGGCATAGTTCTTACCTCTTTATACTAAAATTACAGCTTTATAACTCTCAGTGCTCCATGGGACTGTAGGGAAAACACCCCTCTATTCTTCACATCCCTAGACCTCAGCACAGGGCCCACCATGGAGTAGACTGCCACACTGAACTCAATAGTCTCCTTCCCCTCTCCCACTCTCTGGAGCTCTCTATTTCCATATCCTATCTGGATTTCTCCCCACATCTATAGTGATCCTGGCCTTTAAAGTTTTCCCATATTGGGTCTGTGTCTCACCTATTGCAGATATAAGTCAGTAGGCAGGGGTGAACTGAGGGTCTGCTCACAGGTGTGTAGGTAAGGCTGAACATTTATCACATGCCGTATTCGTTATCAACATCACAGAACTGCCTTTCTCCAAGCCCCTCAGTCATTCTCAGGAATCCACAGAGATAAGGACAGTCTTGCTTGTTACAGTTATGCTAAGAAATTTGAGGAAGGGGAAGATACTAAAATGCACAAAGGAAAGAATCAGATTCTGTAGACAATCTGGCAGGAGCTAATGAAGAGTGAAACTAGCCCTGAGGACTTGTGGGCACCAGTCAGTGGCACAAGGGCATTCAATCTTGAAAGCAAGCACTGAAGTCTTTACTGTGTGTGGCCAAGAACTAGTTCCAAGCCATCTCTCCTCACAGAATGTCCTAAGATCCCCAACACAATGAAATCCTACTAAAGGTAATAAATTGATGCACCTGGTCACACAATCCCTTCCAGGCACGTACTTTTCTTGATCACTTGGGACAATCAGATCTTATTTTCCTCTATGAACCTTCCCAGGTGCAGAAAGTAATTTCTTTATTAATCTCATGTCTAAGTAGCTGTCCTGTGAAACCAGACAGACTCTTCCTTCTTCCCAGATGTGGGCTTGGGTTTTGGCCTGAAGTTAGCTCCCAGAGCTTTAGCCCTCACTCTTAAGTCCTGTCCCAATACACAGTTAGAGGAACATGGTGAATGAGTGGAGATACCTGAAGCAGGCCTGGAGGAGCCAGAATTTAAGTCCAGCTTTGCCAGCAGTCAGAAGAACCAGAGGAATGTTATGTTCAGGCCCTTTATTCTTCCGGGCTGAAATGCCCCAGTCTTTAAGTAGTGGGAAACAATATAGGAAATCATTTTCACTCTTACTCTAACCTCCCTCAGCTCTCCCATCAATTCTATACAGCAAAGTAAAGCCTTACTACAGCCCCAATCACCCCCCAGATCAATGGCGGAGGTGTCCCCCACCTCCGTCTGAAAATTATACGGAGACATGAGACGCTACCTCCTTGTACTGACTCTGATCTTCCTTTTGACCTAAGTGATTCCACCTAAAGGGATAAGCGTATGTTAAGCAGGGTCATGGGAATGTATCCCAGACCTTCAGTAAGGCTGGCATCTTCAAGAATTCTCAAGGAATGGATTGGGTGTGAGGACAAAGATCCTTTGGGAGGAGGATTGTCTAGGAAAATGCAGTGAGGCATCTTTAAACCATCTGCCTTGTGTTACTATGCTCTGTTATGAAACTTGGAGCTCTTGGTCAGAGCCGTGGACACTCTCCCTCTCCACTTCCAGGTTCCCTGATCCCCAGAGACTAACCAGGGAAGTTAAGGTACAGGAGCTCTGTGCCCCCACTGGTATCTTCTGGGATTCATGAGATGGGGAGACAGGTCCTTAGGATATTCACTGTTCTCTAGGAAGCAGAATCTTTCACAACTTTATTTCCTATAAAGTGTTCATCACAACATGAATACGAGATGTATGCAATCCACAAATACAGCAGCCCACAGGCATTCAGGAGGCTGTACATCACAAAAGGAAAGAAACAAGATGAACAGCATAATGAACTGTTGTTTGGAGGAACTTGAGCAGCTGATTCTAAAATTTGTATGGAAATACAAAGAACCAAAAATAGCAAAGACACTGACGCACACACCAAAAACAGTTAAGTGGGAAGATCTGGCTCTGTTGCAGACAGATTCATAAATGGATGGATGGATGGATGGCTGGATGGATCTTATTTAAAAGCTTATGAAACTTACCATAAAGCTGTAGCAGTAAGACAGCATGGCATGAGTGCAGGTATAGACAAATAGAACAACAGAACTGATAACGTTTGCCAGCATTAGACTCACACATATGTGGAGTCTGATTTAAAACAAAGGTGGCACAGGAAGACAGTGGAAAAACAACAATCTTTTCACTAATTTTTGGTCTTGAAACAATTGGCTTTTCATAAGGGAAAAAAACTGAATAGGACCCCTAATTTAAACCATACACAGAAATCATCACAGGTGGTTAGAGAGTTAAATGAGAAAGAAAAATAATAATAAAGAAAAAAGAAAGATAATATAGGAAATAGTTTTACAACTTGGGAGTCAGGAGAGATTTGTAAGCAAGAACCAGAAAATTAAGAAAATATGTGCTGACTGTATTGGCTGGGTGGTGGTTCATGCCTGTAATCCCAGCACTTTTGGAGGCCGAGGCAGGTGGATCACCTGAGGTCAGGAGTTCAAGACCAGCCTGGTCAACATGGCAAAATCCTGTCTCTACTAAAAATACAAAAATTAGCCTGCCGTGTTGGTGAGCACCTAGTCACAGCTACTTGGGAGGCTGAGGCAGAAGAACTGTTGAAACCCAGGAGGCAGAGGTTGCAGTGAGCCGAGATTGGGCCACTGCACTCCAGCCTAGGTGATGAGCAAGACCCTGTCTCAAAAAAAGAAATGTACAATTATAATAATATTGAATACCTACTCTATGGCAGTGTGAGTGCAAAGCATTTTATAAGCTAGATCTCATTTCATCCTCAAAAAAACACACGAAACGTTGCAGTGCACTTTTTGAGAAGCAGATCTTGAGGCTGCGATGCTAAATAATGCATCCAAGGGTGTGCGCCTGCAAAGCAGGGCGTGGTCAGGACCGGCATGCTCCACTGCCACGCTGGGCACTCAGCCCTGTGGTCATGGGCTGCCTGCGTACACACCTGCCTTAAGAGTCAAAACAAAACCAAAGTTAGCGTCATCTTCACTCTCAGACATCCATTATTACCCCACGAGAGACAGGTCTAAGGGCCCTTCCCGGGAGCTGGGCTGTCACTCCAAAGAAGCCCTGTCTGGCTCTACTCTGGACACTGTGCATCCAACCTTGAACACGGCACTGAGCCAGCTCTTCTTGTAGAGACTGAGGGAGAGTTCCAACTGCTCAACTCTAAATAAGAAATCTCTCCTAGAACCTTCCAAGCCCCCTGATCCTAGCCAACATTTCATACCAGCCATCTGGAAAACAGCCCATCAGTGAACTTTTTCGGGAACTTTCTTTTTTTGCAGAATCTGCCTCCAGCCAGGTAAATAAGTCAGCTGCCAGACAAGGAAGCTGTCCCTTTTCCGTTAGTTCTGAGCCCCTCCCTTCTCTTGGTCAGGTCCATGGTTGACACCTTGGGAAGCTCTGTGTCTTAGAACTGTCTTTCAGGCTTAAATTAAGGCTGTGTTTCCTAACATCCCGGCTCTGCGCTCCTCAGCGCTCGGTGGTTCTCCAGAGGAAAGAAGAGGCAGAGCAGATGTTTTCACTGTCATGTTTATATCAAGGTACATTTGGAAGGGAGAGGGAAAGTGTCCAGGCCTAGGTATGGGGATCCTGGTCTTTTGTCCTACTCTGCTGCCAGGAAACATGGCAGCCTTAGCTGAGTCTCTTCTTTTCCTGCGGTTTGTAGAAAAGGCAGCACTGAACAGCCCAGAATTCCTCTTCCTGGAATTCTGCAGAAGCCTGTGATCTCCTCAGTCTGCCCCTCCAGGAAGAGTGAGGCCAGCCGCCAGCCCCACCCAGCTCAGCCCAGCCCAGCTCTATAAAGGAGCCTCTCACAGCCACTGCTGGAAGTTCCAGCCCTGCGCACTCCTCGGCCATGAACCTCTATCTTTCTGCGTTACTCCTCTTCCTGGCAATCTTATTGCCTTCAGGTAAGATAGTGGGCGTTGGTCTGAACATGGGCAGATTCCCAAAGATTGAGATGCTTAAAAAACCCTCTAAGTAGAAGCCCAGCAACAGGACACCACTGTCAGATGGGCCAGCAGGTTAGGGCACAGCAAGCGGACCCCAGCTCCTGCCCTGCTCTGCTGTTCCTGCAGCCTGAAGACCTGACAAGGCACCAGGGAGGGGAATGAATGTCCGTGCACTTATCGCCATGCAGCCACCCAAACTCCTGTTTCCCCTCCCACGCCTCTGGCTAGCCTGAGCTTTATGTGCCTTGCTGAGATGTGATAAGAGGTGAAGTAAATCACAAATAACAAGCCATCCACCAGGTGATGGCAGCCCAGGATTTCTCCCCAGCCTCATGAAGATTGATTGTTCTTTTCTGTGGTCTCTTTCCGCTTGAGGAAGAGGTATGTTTGGGAACGATGGAGTCAAAGTTCGCACCTGCACTAGCCAGAACGCCGTATGCTTCCTCGGGTGTCCACCGGGATATACATGGATTTCATTCTGCCACAATGTTTTGTCTTGCTGTAGAAAAATGACAAAGTTTCAACCCCCTCAAGCCAAAGATCCATGGTCTAAATAAAAAGATACGTGACTGGTTCAAAGGGCTGAACTCCTAATCTGTGTAAGGATCTGAGAGCTCCTACATGAGAGAACCAGCTTCTGATAATTGACTGGCAAAATTCCAGAAGCATTTCGTAAAGGGAGCAGGCCATGAAATGCATCCCCTATCATTCTTCCTACCCTCCCATCTGCCGTTACTCATTCCTCTTTCAAATTCAAATTCAGGCTGGCTCACACCTGTGATCCCAGCACTTTGGGAGGGTGAGGGGGACTGATCACTTGAGGACAGGAGTTCATGGCCAGCCTGGCCAACATGGTGAGACCCTGTCTTCACTAATAATATGACAGTCAGCCGGGTGTGGTGGTGGGCGCCTGTAATACCAGCTACTCGGGAGGCTAAGGCAGGTGAATCACTTGAACCCAGGAGGTGGAAGTTGCAGTGAGCCAAGCTCATGCCACTGTGCTCTGGCCTGCATGACAGAGTGAGACTCTGTCTCAAAAAAAAAAAAAAAAAAAGAAAAACAAATTCAATTGATTGATACAAGTTCACAGGCCCAAGCAATGATATACTCTGGGCATAGAAACAAGGGCTAGCCATGCTCCAGTCACACGTGTAAGTGGTTTACATCATTAGGTAACTTACTCTGCACAGTAAAATCTACAATTTCTCTCATTTGGCAGATGAAGAATGTTTCCACGGTCACACGACAAGTAAGAGTTAGTGCTGGGTTTGAACCCAGGCAGTTTTCACCCAATGTCTTCAGTGTTAGGTTGCTGCACCTCTCCATTAGTAAGTATGAGAATGTGGCCAGACTGTGGTTCCAAAGAGGAGGCAAGAATCCAACTAGACCCCCGAATGACAAGCCCCTCAACAGCTCGTCCTGTGGTTTAAGGCCACCATGCTTCTGGCTGCCAAGTCGCATTCCTGGCTCTGCACTCAGTGGCTTTCATGAGTCACGGTCAGCGTCACCCTCAGATCCCACACACCGAACACGCTGCTTTCACCACGGAGGTGGAGCGCTGGCCCACACACGCCCACTCCAAACCTGCAGTGTCTGTGGGGCAGCACTGCCCAGGGTCCTCACCTCTACTCCAGGGCTCCCACCTGGAGGCAGAGGCCTCGGGTCCGCCTGGAGACCCCGGTCATTCTCTGCTAAGAAAAGAGAAGGGTAGCTGAGTTTCAGGATCTCACTTCTCCAGGAACGTGCCCGGCAGGCGCGCTCTAGAAGTTTGCTCTGAATGCTAAGCAGGGGCAAGCTGCCTGCTCAGAACTCTGCCTCAACATCAATCCCCCAAATTCCAGCAAAGAAGAAAAACCAGAGATCACCCTGGTCCGCGAAGCAGCCTCCGAGGGCACCGTGCTTCAGCTGGTCCCTGCGGGTGTACGGGTGTCCACAGAGGCTCTGTGTGTCAGACCACCCCTCACCAAAAACAACAGGACATTTCAACAGTTCACAAATAATACAAATGCAATGAAATTAACATGAAAAAAGAAAATGCAAGAGAAAATCGGGTGAAAGGAAAAAGCCGATATACTTTCACCAGATGTCAAAAGGATCCAAAGCTCAAAAAAGGCTAAAACCCTCGACCCCTTTCTTGCAGTTCCTGAGTTCATGGCCACTCCTGCCTGGTGGAGATGCTGCTCTAGCTTTGACAGTAGGGCAGAAAAGACACAACTCTCTCCAGCAGCATTCAGAGAGGACCGAAGCCTGTACAATGATTTCTGCTGAAAACCCACACGAGAAACAAGAACATTAAATTACCACACACAAACAGCGTCATGTATTGACATTGCAGCCCCCTGCGTGTGGACTTAGAGTCAGTGGGCAGTGTCTCTGGGGGGCCACAGGTGCCAACCTCACTCTCCAAGTCCCAGGACTCCCATGGGGAAGGTCCACAATTTAGGCTTAGAGACCTCTGTCCCCAGAAATGTTACTGGGATGAGTGACAGAATCACATGAGTGCCACCGAGATACCAGTTCTTCCTGGTGCAGCAAACTATTTCAGGACAGTGAATCCACAGACCCGCCCTGAGGACAAAAGCGATTCTGTCACACAGAGTTGATGGCAGTAGCAGTTCCTTAGGCTCCCTCCAAAAAATACCCGATTGCTACATACTGCAGCGTATTTCACAAGCCATGCCAACCCTCACAGTTTAGGGTTTAAGCAGGCAATGCCAGTGGCCACACGCTGAAGGGACAATGACTGAATGGTCTAGACGTCAGTCGTGGCGGGTTTTTTATGTTTGCTCTTTGTTTTTTTTCTGAGATGCAGTCTGGATTTGTCGCCCAGGCTGAAGTGCAGTGGTGTGATCTTGACTCACTGCAACCTCCACCCAGGTTCAAGCTATTCTTCTGCCTCAGCCTCCCAAGTAGCTGAGACTACGGGCACACGCCACCATGACCAACTCATTTTTTTTGTATTTTTAGTAGAGACGGGGTTTCAAAGTGTTGGCCTGGCTGGTCTCAAAGCCCTGACCTCAAGTGATCCACCAGCCTCTACTTCCCAAAGTGCTGGGATTACAGGTGTGAGCCACCACACAAGGCCAATATCATGGCTTCTTAACTCAGGCAGGAGCCAGGACCAGTGTGTAATACAGGAGCAATTAACTGTGAGTATGAGGTGTTCAGACGGATTCCTCACTCTGCTTCCTGAGGTTGTTTGTAAGGAAGTCGTCCAAAATCAGAGAAGATTTGGTGGGCGCGGTGGCTCACGCCTGTGTCCCAGCACTTTGGGAGGCAGAGTAGGGCAGATCACAAGGTCAGGAGTTCAACACCAGCTTGGCCAACATGGTAAAACTCCATCTCTACTGAAAATACAAAAATCAGCTGGGCATGGTGGCAGGTGCCTGCAATACCAGCTACTCTGGAGGCTGAGGCAGGAGACTCACTTGAACCCGGAAGGTGCAGGTTGTAGTGAGCCAAGATTGCACCACTGCACTCCAGCCTGGGTGACAGAGCAAGACTCTGTCTCAGAAAAAAAAAAAAAAAAAAAAAAATGGAGCAGATTACTCAACTCACTGCCAACCCATCAGGGGACCTGATAGTGTAAAATCTTTCATCACTAAAGTGCAGGCGTAAAAACTAACATTCAGAACAGACGAGGCATTTTCCCAGGACCATGCAACTCATCAGTGTGCAAAGCTGGGATTCAAACACAGATCTAGCCGCTCCCTTTCTGCTTCCTGATCTATAGTATGACGCCCTGGTCTCTCTGAGAGTACTGCTGGCACTGGAAAGGGAAGAGGTGAACTGCAACTTTCTGGAGATGTGGAGTCAGGTTAGAAAAGCATGAGTCAGGTCATTGAGAGAAATCAGCCCTTCCCACCGGACCACGAGGCAGGGATCCTTAAGCTCATAGTCTGGGACTTTGAAAGGGCCTGACTGGTTGAAACTGGTCTGAGAAAGTTCCTTCCCAGTATCTGGGCAGGAGATTTCTAGCTTCTGCCTGGTTTTCCCCGCAGGCTAGCCCTGCTCAGCTCTGCTCAACGGCAGAGCTAGGCAAGAGAGGAATTGAGAAGAAGAAGGAAGCCGCGGAAGAAACTGACCTTTCCTTCGACTGCCCTGTAGTCAGCTCCCTCGCAGAGAGAGAAAAGACCTTGAACCAAAGTCTCTCGGCGCACTTGATGGTGCTGTTCTTCCCCCAACATCAGGTGCAGGCTGCCTCCCGGGTGCCTGGCTGGCCCCAGCCCAAGTCCTGACGAGTGCAGCCTGTATCTTAATGGCCTTCATTGTGCATGGAGAAGGGCAGAGGAGTGCAAATGTCCGAGGTGTCCCAGGAGTCTCCCACAGACCAAAACCTCCCTGGAGGGGGGAAAGGCGTTTATTAGATTTGGCAGAATGTCCAAAGCCTTACGTCCTCTCCATGTGCACTCACGTGGCTCTGTCATGTGCAGTTGGCCTCCTGACATCGAGTAGGTGTTCTCTATAGGACGAGCCCTTTACACACACCGGAAAAAAGCAGCCTGGCTTTCTGACTTTGCAAGCAGATGTCCTGGAGGCTTGGTAACTGCAACCTAAATCGCTTCTAGGGAACCCAGCCGAATCCGCTTTCAGAACTTCTGTTTACTGGGTTCATTTCATCTCAAATGCTGAGAACTGTGAGCCAGGCCCAAATACAAAAACGTCTTGGGGCTGAGTGTGATGGTTCACGCCTGTAATCCCAGCACTTTGGAAGTCCGACGTGGGGCAGATTGCTTGAGCACAGGCATTTAAGACCAGCCTGGGCAACATGGCGAAAGCCCGTATCTACAAAAAATACAAAACTTAGCCGGGTCTGGTGGCTCACACCTGTACTCCCAGCTACTCAGGAGGCTGAGGTGGGGGGATCGCTTGAGCCTGGGAGGTCAAGCCTGCAGTGAGCCATGACTGCACCACTGCACACAGCCTGGCTGAGTCACCAAGACCCTGTCTCAAAAATACAAATTTAAAAAGCCCCTCGGGAGACCCTGCCTGATATTACGGAACGTACTTGTGCTTTTCTTCACCATTGCTCCAGGGGAATCAAGTCCTCCTGGTCGCGCGGTTCCCTCCCATGGGCTCAGAAGCCTTAGTTATTCTGGAAGCAGCAAGAGGTCAGTTTTAGGCCAAAATCTATTTGTTCTGCTCTCAATGTCTTTCAAAGGAAAATGGAAATAACGCAATGCTCCACGTGGTAATCGAGGAAGCACAGGATGCTTCCCCTTCATTTCTCTAAATGAAAGGCTGCTTAGTGCCTAAGCCATGAAGAGCCCCACCTCACTCTTGGTCTCCTCTTAGTCCGCTCTGTCTCATGTAAAGCAGAATCTTTGGAGGATACAGGGAGTAATTACGAATAAGTACTGGGTTCTGCTGGCCCAGGGTATGCTGACTTTCTGCTCATCCCATGGCGAACCACCATGGCCAAGAGCTCGTTCTCCCCGCCCCTCTCCCTGTTTAGCCTAGGCAGCAAAGACAGACTTCCACCTGCCACCCATCTTCACAGACACTCAGCATTGCCTGTCTTCTACATTTTCACCCTCTGGTGGGTGTGTAGTGGTATCTCATAAGTTTTGCTTTTGTGGGGTTTTTGTTTTGTTTTGTTTTGTTTTGTCTTGTTTGAGACAGAGTTTCCCTCTGTCACCCAGGCTGGAGTTCAGTGGTGCCGTCTCGGCTCACCGCAACCTCAGACTCCCGGCTCAAATGATTCTCACGTCTCAGCCTCCTGCATAGTATGCCACTACACC